TGGGAAGGAGGGGGGGGGGGGTATAATGGCAAATGATACTTTGAATATTACATGTTAATAACTTGATTGGAATTATAACCCTGAGTTGACAGTTTGATACTTTGAAAATTTTGAGCCAGCCCTACCCCCAAGGGCTGTAGGGTGGGGCCCAAAGGGGTCAGTGTGCTAAAATTTCTTCATTTTCCTTGTTTAGAATCAGGGGTGCTAGTTTCAAATACTGTTTAGTCTTAAATCTGTATGCTAGATATTGAATAAGGTGGTTTTATTGTTTTTTGTCGCTGAGTAATATTTCTGTTCGTGTTAAAAACAAAATCAACTCTCTGTATAAATATATCAGGTGACCGTTAAGGCCCATGGGCCTCTTGTTATTATTAGGTTCTACCAGACAGCTTATTTTTAGGCCCATGGGCCTCTTGTTTATATTTCCATCAACAATTCTTAAAAATAAATAATTCCAAAGGACTCAGTGATGTTTTGGGGCTTTTGATTTCGAGCAAGTCCCATTTACTAACAAATAGTAAAATAGACCTGACTGTAATTTGCAAAATAAATCTGAGCTATTCGTAAATAATGATTTTTTTAATTGAGATTTAATTGAAATTTTATTTTATTAATTTGGAAACATTGTTTCAATCTTAACATAAGGGAGAAATCCATTACATCACATACCACAGTCATCTCGACCATCTGTAATTTCTGTTCCAGTGACGGGAACAGCATCTTCTGGTGACTTAGGCTTCGGGACCTTCGGCCAGGAACAAAAGTTGATGAAGAATGACTTTCTTTTCGGTGACTGAAAGAAATGATGCATTACATTAATTTAGTAAAAAAATCAAGTTATAAATGTTACCTCCATTTTTAACAAATTTGAAGTTTTTTCAACCGAAAAATTAATAAGAACAACTTAGATAAGTAATATTTTTCAATAATAATTTGACCCAATGAATAATATTATGTAACAAATAAAATTAGAAATAAAATAATTTTGAATGAATAATAGAACACTTCATGTCGTTAAATGCAAAATTTAATATTTGTAAAAAAAATATACATACATAATATCAAAACTGAATTCCAGTGTAACAGATGAAAATTAGTTACTCATAAAAATGAAGCATATTGCAAAGTTGATTTTATTTCAGCATTTTCTCTTTACATTTTTTTTTGCAAAATTTTTGGTGCTTTTTCCTGCCTATTTTTTTCGTATTTTGAGTCACTGAAGTCTGTCTTATTGCTTGAGATTCTCCAATTCTATTTTGGGGAAAATTTATAGTCTGAATAAATTTTGGAATGTGTTCATAAAATGTTATTAACTTCACTTTAGGCTATCTGTAGACAGGAAACACTGTACAATAACCAGATAGTGGCAAAACTATCCAACGCCTTGGGACTGATAATTGGCTGGTACATTAACTCACTGATAATTGGCTGGGACATTAACTCACAAGTGTAATGTATGTAACATAGTAATCAAACGGTGGACAGAGTTAAGGGTGGGAAGTGATATTTGCAGGGTAGATGGGGGACATGTGAAGGGTGGACAAGGAACATGTGAAGGTCAGGTGGGGCACATGTGAAGGGTGGAAGGGAGACATATGGAGGGTTGATGGGGGATATGTGAAGGGTGGATGGCAGACATGTGAAGGGTTGATTGGGACATGGGAAGGGTGGATGGCGGACATGTGAAGGGTTGATTGGGACATGGGAAGGGTTGATTGGGACATGGGAAGGGTTGATTGGGACATGTGAAGGGTTGATTGGGACATGTGAAGGGTTGATTGGGACATGTGGATGGTGGACATGTGAAGAGTGGATGGCGGACGTGTGAAGGGTTGATTGGGACATGTGAAGGGTGGGTGGTGGACATGAAAGGGTGTAATTGGAGGGGGGCATGTGAAGGGTGAATAAGAACAATTATATGTTAGGGTGGATGGGGGACATGTGGATGATGGTTGGGGTTTGGGGACATATTTATGGGGAGGGTTGTGAAGGGTTGATGGGGGACATATTGAGGGTGGGTGGGGGTGTAGGGTGTATGTGGGGAAATGTGAAGGGTAGATTAGGGATATGTGAGGGATGGAAAGGGACATGTAAAGGGTGGATGGGGGACATTGTGAGGATCAGTGGATAACATATGAAGGGTAGATCAAAATAAAATGAAGCATATAATTTGCTATGCAGTTTTATTTCAGTGAGTATATTTATATAAAGGGTGGATGGCCCCGACATGGGAAGGATGGATAGGGGATAAGTGAAGGGTAGATGAGGGATATGTGGAGGGTTGATGGGGGATCTGTGAATGGTGGGTTGGGGACTTGTGAAATGTGGATAGGGGCATGTGAAAGATGAGCTTGGGACATGTAAAGCAAAGGACAGATGGCAGACATATGAAAGGTTGGTAAGGGACATGTAAGGGCAGTGGGGTGGACACATGAAGAGTGGATGGGGGATATCTCAAGGTTTGCTGGGGGACATATGAATGGTGAATAGGGGGCATATTAAGGTGCAGTGTTTCTGCATGGGGAAAAAGGTGTGGGATGGGATGGGGAGGTTCTCACTGTCATTTGAACTTTGGTTGCATGAGGATATTTGGGTTTGGACACATGGAACACTTTCTTCATGACTCACCAGTATGTTTGTCTGAACACACATGTGAGGCGTTGGTGGAGACATAAATTCTTGACCCTCCTTAATGTGTTTGTCAATGAATTTTTTGTAGGATTTGGGGTCAGAGTTTGCCATATCATCCAACATGGTCCATATATGCTGAGCCTGATGCATCATGGAATCGCTATCAACATTCCCATCGGTGTCCATTTTGAAACAAGAAGACAGTGTTTTTTTTCTGGTTTCTATAGATCTGTGCTTCTTTCTAAAAAACAAATAAGATTTTTTTTCAGGTTAATGAACACTTGGCTCGATTATCAAAACCACGTTTTTCTTAATAAATCAGTACATTTATGTATTTAGGATATATGCATTGTACATACATAATATAAACTAATATAGTGACAAAGTTGCCTTTCTACATTCGTGTACATGTAGCTTAGCTTGCCCTAGAGGGATTTTTTACATCCTTTACAATGTAGATCATCAGTGGTAGAGCGTTTCATTAGAAAGAATATGGGATTGCAGGTTCGAGCCCCAGCAAATGCACATGTACATATTCTTCCAACTTCTTCCTTTAGCTAATTGTAATTTCTATTAATGTGTAGTACTAGTGTACTAGGGGAAATTCGGCATAATCAGTTTTTCATCTTAGACTTTTAGTTTTTCAACTGTAATGTGACTGTAGCCTACTGTACAGTACAATGTCCCGTCACGTAACTGATGAAACTTATTGAAGTTAATTTCACAAACAGCAGGTGCCGAAACGTCTAACTTATGACCACGGCCAAAAAGGAACTGGAGCATGACTCTGTCTAGGGTCTAGTACATATTTAGATAACTACATGTTATATCAGGGAGGCAGCGTCGCAGTAATGTAACGATGTACAAAACAAATGTATTCATGACGCAGTGCCTGTGCCTCAATCGGTCCCTCTTTTTGTATGACCTGTGGTAATAATAATTACAGTGATGTTACATAATCTTTCAGTTGTGTTGATCAAAGAAGCTCATGTTCCTATAGTATTTAAGGAACAGCAAATCTCATCTTACCTGTCGTAGTAGACACTTGGCGTTATTTCAACATGTAGGCCTATCGCATGCCGAATTCACAGGCCACAACATGAAGTAGCGTCCTTAGTATGCGTAATACGTCATCAAAATGTGTTTTCAGGGGAGATCACTCTTAATTTCACACAAACGTTTACACACCAAAAACAAGGGGCAAGCGGCACATCGGCTGGATGCATATATATATGAGAGGTGATTGATCGAGGGAGCTGATGGTCAGTATGGTCATATTATTAGAATATTTAGCACGTACACCAAGGGGAAAGACATAAATCGAAAGAAAAAGTAATATCTAGGTGAATTTCGAATTGATTTACGGTCTTTTTTTTATGGTAAACATGACTGTATGAGTGTATCTCAGTTGCAGCTGAACATCAACGTTAACCAGTCCCTACTAGATCTACTAGAATCTAGTGATCAATCATGATCATGAGTAGACAATCGCTAGAACAAACAATGAAGCATTCCACTCGTGTATATATTAGAACAAACAATGAAGCATTCCACTCGTGTATATATGCGAGCAACCAAGCATTGTGCTGAACAGGTTTTATTTTTTTATTTGCATTTATATTTAGTGGTTGATAACATTAAATCAGGGAAATAGGTGTAGTAATGCAGGAACGAGTAAACAGAACATTGTTGTTCACTACTAATAATTGAATAACTCAGGAAATAACTTCATATAAACAACTTGTTCTATGAAATAAATGATTCCATAGACCTACAGCGATTTCCATTGTGGTTGTCTATGGGTCTACCTATGTTAATTTCAATTATTGGTGATTATGTTATGCCTTATATGGCAATATTCAATAATCAGGTCATTGGGACATTTCGTACAGACAGTCTTGAGTAAGTTTGGTCCAAGTTGGAATCAACATATTAAAATAATGACTTTAAAACGCATGCAAAGTCAGGTTTTCCCCGCAAACTTCACAACTTTTTATAAAGTTATATAAAAAAATATGTTACATGGGCCAAACTTGCCTAAGTGTCCCCTATAATCATCGATATATACCCTATATTCTAATTATATATATAATCCCTATAATACGATGAAAGAAAATAGGGTAAAGCCTTTATGCCTATTCATAAGCGCGAAAAAATATGAATAAATAAAAAAAAATGTTTTAAGTTTGGGCAACACCCTAAATAAATTCCTGTATCTGCCCCTGCATTTTTACAGTAATTAATGTGTTTTGTTTGGGGAGGTTACTGCATTATGCATAGGAAAACAACACAATGCAGTGAGACAGGGTTCATTAATTCTTTCCAAAAACTATTTAAAACTTGGGGATAACTACAGTTCAATCACAGGGTCACGTTACAAATGTCTGAAATACACATATGCTATCCTGATACGGGTCACAACACACATAAACATACATGTATATGTTTATGTGTGTTGTGACCCGTATCAGTAAAGCATATGTGTATTTCAGACATTTGTAACGTGACCCTGTGGTTCAATGGACAAAATAGACAAGCTGCAAGCATATGTCTTACGGTCATTACTGATATGAATTGCTGTACACTGTATACTATTTAGATTTATTACATTTATTTAAAGGAAGAAAAGCAGATGTAATGAAGTTAAGATCTCGGTATAAAGATTGAAGTTCAAGTCTCTGTTGACGTGTCAAAGGAGAAGATGATTACATCTGCTGCAAAAACGCTGCTGAAAAACCACATTCGCCATGCTGATACACATAACAGGGTACAGTATATTAGTTTAACTTTGATTTCTGTATGCTAATTAATCAGTAATATTTTGCCGTTACCCTGAGACTTATAGATCTATGTATACACTATAGCTTCTTAACTGTTACATGGAGACTTAAGTCTGTATGCTGCCTTACCATTACAAGGAGACTGACTAAAAGATATTTGCTGCGTATTTCCGACAAAGACAATGATGCATGTTTAATACCTAACTGTTACATGGTGACTTAATGGTGTATGTTATCTTATTGTGACATGGAGACAATAGGCTGTATGCTGCCTTACTGTTATATGGAGACTTAAGGGTGTATGTTACGTTATTGTGACATGGAGACTTAAGGCTGTATGCTACCTTACTGTGACATGGAGACTTAATGCTGTATGCTACCTTACTGTGACATGGAGACTTAAGGCTGTGTGCTACCTTTCTGTGACATGGAGTTATCATACTACATATTTACATTGTGTATACTACAGACTTTGACATTGGTACATATAAGAGTATTTTAGGCTACAATGATTCCTCACCCATCACCCAAGTACTCCAGGGAATCAGGTATGGACCTGCAGACTGCACCCTAAGGAAATGATTGAAAAACACCAATAACAGTTATTACCGAACACTTTAATAAAAAAAAAATCATGAAAACGATGTTGATCCTTAAGCTTTTACTAGACAGACAACATGATCCTCAGTGTTCGTATATCACAAGTACATGTCTCCAGCTCTACACAGTTGATGAGGTCAAATATGATTTTATTCAATTTAGTATAAAACTTTAAATTGCTGTTTTCAAAGGGAGGCAATCACTGTGACACAGATAGCTGTGTGCGGGTAGCATTTTAAAAGTACAAGAAGAGGTAATCTGGTATGTTAAAATACGATAAGTTAATAAATGGTATGGTTTGTTTTTGATAAATGGAAGTAATCTGGTAGATTTTGACAAAATGATGTCATCTAGTAATTGTTTTGGCAAGAGAAAAGTGAGTATTCTAGTAATGTTTCATGGGTGGGGAGGAGATGGAAGGTAAGTGCCAGGTAACCTAGGTATTTTGACAAGGGGAGGTAATCTGAATATTTCTGACAAAGACAGGTATTTGGTATTTTCTCATTATACAAAAAATTATTTTAGATGGTGGAGGAGTCTGAAATGTGGGCAACTCAGAGTAAATTATCCGCCATGGATAGGAAAACAGGTACCACAGATAATTACAGAGGGAGAGGAGATCGCACAAACTCTAAATACGACCCGAGAGGTCGACGACCCAATCAGTTTCAAGGTAGAAACGACAGCCACGATTCCTTCCTATATGATGACAGGGACGACTCAGAATCTCCTGAAGATCGTTGTGGGGCCTACATGGACAGACAAAAGTCTGATCGCGTTGTATCCAGCCGTGATTTGGAACGGTTTAAGAAATCTCGGAAAACCAAACAGGACCTGAAGGCAGGAATTGACCGGTAGCTATATATATAAATATTTCATGCTCACAAGTTGGAAGTAGAATTAATGTTGAAGTGTTTGGTTTTTCTCTAATGGTTTATAACTAAGATAATCGGAACAACACTATCTGATAGTGCTAGCTTTGTATATGCCCCATTGGCACACGCCGTTTCCTACATACAGGCAGGTGCAATATACATTTTACTTCAAATTTGACACATTTAAAAAAAATGATCAGTCATGCCTCAGTTACACTGTATTTGTGTTACTTGCTAATAATTTTGATATTGCATTAAACTATTTATGACGTGGGTTACAATGTATACCATATGACAAATTGTTTGATGACCTGGCTGATATATGGAAACCTCAGATTGATACAGACTATATGTAGGATATGGAAACCTCAGATTGATACAGACTATATGTAGGATATGGAAACCTCAGATTGATACAGACTATATGTAGGATATGGAAACCTCAGATTGATACAGACTTCTTCTTCTTCTTCCTTTACAAGGATCAGACTCAAAGGTTTGAGTGCACTTGATCCTGGGAGGTGGCATTAAAAATGTTAAAAACAATTATTTTTGTTAATTTGTACTATAAGATAAAAACAGAAAACACGTTATGGAATGTTGAAACTAGCCAGGACAGACCTGAAAGAGTTCAGGTTTGGCTCCTGTGCTAGGGATGATGGTAGCGAATTCCAGTTAACAATAGTTCTAGGGAAGAATGAATATTTATACAAATTTGTGTGGGTTGATATTTGATTAATTCTGTGGGCCTCTCTGGTTCTCCTGTCGCCTGATGTTATGAATTGGGATGGATCAATAGCCACATGTCCGTTTGTTATTTTATATAACATCATGAGCCTGGCTTTTGTTCTTCGCTGGGCTAGGGCCGGGGCTCCCAGTTAAGTATATTTATCATGTTGGTGACACATCCAGGCTCTCTAGATATATGATCATTAAATATGTATCTGGCAGCCCTACGCTCTACATTTTCAATTGCTAGGACCTGGTCTGAAATAAAAGGGTCCCAGCAAGTGGCTGCATATTCTAGTGATGGTCTTACTAGTGTGGTGAATGTCTGGGTTTTGACTTTTCTGGTGCATGATGACATGTTGCGGCGCAGAAATCCCAGTGTCCTATTTGCCTTGTTGGTGATGGATTGTATGTGTTTATCCCAATTTAGGTCTGAGGTGAAAGTGACCCCTAGGTATATTATGTAGGATATGGAAACCTCAGATTGATACAGGCTATATGTAGGATATGGAAGTTGCACTTTAACTAGGAGCGATAAAACATATTAACATGACAATGCAATACGTTGATATACGTATCACAGTTACATAAAGTAACAATAGAAGCAATGTGAAAAGAAATGTTGCATTAAACAGTATTATTACAGCAGGAAATAGACTTGGTCCAAAATTGGCATGACTTTAAAGTTTCACACAATTCACGTCTTGCGACATGCATGCTGAGCTGGAACTGTCACTCGCCATGGGGTAACGAATATGAGTAGACTAAATTCAGAAACGACCCAATCCGGAAAATATCAAAGGTGTTACTTGTCCTCCAAAAAATATTGTGTATTGTACCGTATTCAAAGTATGGTAACACATATATTGTCGCACAATATATCATCGCAGCCCTAACAATAACCTCTAATTAATTATTGTAGTGATGGGAAATCAGTTTAAAATCATAATCGATAATCGGGTTGTAATCGGAAGTAGTAAACCGATTGATGATTGATTACATGATCAAATTATCGGTTTATAATTTAATAGGACTGAATTACCAAAATAAAGTGAGAACGCTACTATCATATCAATAGACAGATTTGTTATCTATACATTAGGTTTCGTTCTTTAATAATGGATGGCTATCAAGCAATTTTTATGCATTTTTCTCAATCATATAGTATAAATTATAAATATATATGACTTTCAAATCATACTTTACATGGGAGACATTTAAATACTGTGTTTTGAATGATAAACTGATTATAATGATTATGAAATTTGTAATTAATAATCAAAATCTGAAAGGGCAAACCAAACCTTTTTTTATTATAACCGATTATCAGACCATCACTACTGTATTGTGAGGTAGAAACAGGCTGAATTACTTACCTGTCAATGCAGTGATCAGTCATTTCTACACATTTTCACTTTATACCTTCAACAGACAATAGAACATACCTTTGTGATTATGTATTCCTAATGTTTTAACTGCCATTAACCTTTGACCTCTGCATTGTAGTTGGGACCACAGTGGGTTTGAGAAGCAGAATGCCGGGAGCAAAGGTCAAGATGATGCGAGGTATAATACCAGGGCAAATAAAACAATCATCTGTTTCTTTCATTTAAGGATCCCTGTACCACTACGAAAAACTGCAATTAAGTGCTGGCATTTTTTTTCTGCATGACTATCGCTTTTGATAAAACATTTCTGAAAGGAAAACCATACCATTTTTGAGAAACAATGAAGATGAAATAGACCAAACATTATTGACAAGATTATTCTGAAAGTCAAAAATCAACGGGGCTAGACCTGGTTCATACCCCAGACTCCAGATTCTTGTACTATCATTTTAACTGATTGAGCGACCAGGTCAATGGAAATGTCCTGGCCCAAATGAGCTACAGTTATATCCAGGTGGAAGTTAAGGGGAGGTAATTACTGTATATAGGGAAACACAGAGTGTATGCAGTGAAACAGGGATCCTAAAATCATTCACCCCTGAAATTTCATTATGGACTATTCCAATTTAAACATATAAACTATTGTCTTCAAAAAGATTGGGTTAAAGTTCTGAAAGCTTCCCTAGGCCCTCTTCCAACAATATAATATACAATTAGATGAAACGTGATAACAGAAGTTTTATACACAGACATTTTTGTGAGTCATGAATATCTGTTTCAAAATTTTGATTCATGAGTCAACTTATGAAGAATTATAGTTTTTTCTTAAAGAGTTAGTGAGTTTCCAGAAAAGTATGATACATAGAACAAAATATTTGAGTCCTAAATATCATCGATATATATAAACACATTATAATAGACAATGTAAAGCAGAAACAGATTCGAATGGAGGAAAGAATGTAAGATTTCTGATAATTTTAGGGGATGAAACTGCTAGTAAAAACATTTTTTTCTGCAGATAATTACGTGTACAGAAAACCTAAGGGCTTATAATTAATGTGCACCTCATTTTTATACGCCTGTCAAATTTGATGGGAGTGTTATGGTATGGGTTTCTCTGTCCGTACGTCGTCAACTTTTGTTTGACCGGCAATCACCTCCTACATTTTTCAACCGAATTCTTTGAAACTTGGTGTACATTATAATCATGATATAAAGTTGTGTTTCCTCGAAAAGAATTTTGATTCAACAATTTTTGCAAAAGTAATTGCCCTTTGTTTATTTCAGTATTAGATTTTTTGTCCGGAGATTTTCACCTATATTTTTTATAGCATGTCAGCTAACCACTCTTAGAATGATGCAGATCTTATTTCAATGTAAGAAAGAATATAACACTATATGCCGTTTGACTGGCGTATATTGTTCCACCCTGCGGTACTCTTTGTTTGGTTTATAAAATCGTGACAAGCTTACCAGAATTGAGAATTTCTTAACTGGTGATTCTGATTGGATATTCCACTGCCAAAGCCACTCCCCCCTCCCCCCTCCCCACTCCCCACTCCCCCCTCCCCTCTCCAACAGGTTAAACTTGGGTGTTGTATAATTGACACTTATTGATAACAGTCACACCATCATCAATTTAATGGGTCAGCGAAGCATGATCGACACTTTTGGACCTGTATGGCAAGTGGTCAGATGTGTTACAGTTTTGGTTATAAAAAAGTTAAAGAAGTTTTTATTTAAATACATTTATAAGAAGGTCAATGAACATCACAGTTGTAAAAAAAAAATTATACACATTGTCTGTAATGTTTTATACACATTGTCTGTAATGTTTTGTACACATTGTCTGTAATGTTTTACACACAATGTCTGTAATGTTTTAAACACATTAGATGTAATGTTTTATTTACATTGTCTGTAATATTTTATACACATTGTCTAATGTTTTATACACATTGTTTGTAATGGTTTATACACATTGTCTGTAATGTTTTGTACACATTGTCTGTAATGTTTTACACACAATGTCTGTAATGTTTTATACGCATTGTCTGTAATGTTTTAAACACATTAGATGTAATGTTTTATACACATTGTCTGTAATGTTTTATACACTTTGTCTGTAATGTTTTATACACATTGTTTGTAATGTTTTATACACATTGTCTGTAATGTTTTATACACATTAGATGTAATGTTTTATTCACATTGTCTGTAATATTTTATACACATTGTCTAATGTTTTATACACATTGTCTGTAATGTTTTATACACATTGTCTTTAATGTTTTATACACATTGTCTGTAATGTTTTGTACACATTGTCTGTAATGTTTTATACACATTGTCTTTAATGTTTTATACACATTGTCTGTAATGTTTTAAACACATTAGATGTAATGTTTTATACACATTAGATGTAATGTTTTATACACATTGTCTGTAATGTTTTATACACATTAGATGTAATGTTTTATACACTCTGTAATGTTTTATACACATTAGATGGGGCCACAGCGGATATCGTATGATGTATCCAGGAGATTCTGACAGTGATCATTGTAAGAAAAGAAAACGAGAAAGATACCCCAAGTTGAGGTAAATATACTCTATTTACTAATTAATTGTGACATAAAGACATACACCTCCTGAACAATTTAAAAGTTTACATTAACCCTTTCACCCTTATGTTACTTGAGTAGACTCTACCATGCATTGATATGGATGAGTCCATTATGGTCTATGGTGGTGAAAGGGTTAATATAACTCTGCAATATATTTTTAAACAAATTTAGAACTTTTCAAGAAATGAGATATGAGATTGGATGGGTGATGGTGAGAGTGGGGAGAAGGAGGCTCAAATAATTAATGGTATAAGTCCAGTCCATTTATCACAAGCAGTAAACCTTGAAAACACAGAATTAATTTTGACCTATTTTAAGATATCTTAATGTATTTATTATGGGAGGTATAGAGGGGAAATGGAAGTATTTATAATTAATACACTTCTAACACCTTGTAGATAATGTATGTGGGTTTTGGGTGTTTAAATCATCATGAATATCTGTGCAGTAGATCTTGTTGAGTCATGAAAATAGGCTTTCTTGCATCACAATTAAATTTGGCTTCGAGACCAACTCTTTTTATCAGCCCTTGACATAGACAAAACTTAAGCAAAATTCAAACCTTCAATGTTAGATGAACTTGGTAAAGGGAGATAAGTCTGGCATACACAGGTATGGTCCGATAACCAAGTAATCTGATATTGATATCTCTTCCCTTTATAGGTTGACAGAATTTTGATTCTGCTTTGTGGGCAAATACAATGATGTACTTTAAAACAGACAGTATAAAAAAAGTGTTTGAGATGGCAGTGTACTGTATAACCGGAAATTTGTGTTGCAGTTCAATTTTTGCCCTTTTCGTCCTCCGTAATGAGGATCATTACATTGAACATAAGTAAACATTGTATGCATAGCAATTGAATGTGAAGGGAGCGGATTTAACCCTGGACGAATATGGATTATTCTGGTGAAGGGCGAATAGTTCAACTGGGCCTAAAATTCCCAGTATGCAGTAGTCCGTCTTTTCGTATTGCAGAGTTATTTGCTATTGTGAGCAGGTATTGATTGTTACGTCATTTGTTTGTGAGAGTAACGTCATAAATTTTTGAGAAAACGATGTAATTTTCTCACACAGACTAATGACGTAACAATCAATACCTGCTCACAAGAGCAGATAACTCTGCAATACGAAAAGACGGAATATAACCTATAATGACTTTGATGGTCATGGTATAACTCCCCAGAGCCATTTTCCGGGTCACTCTATGTTAATGTAACCAAAAAGGGAAATCTGTTTTCACTTCTACCTCAATGGTTATACATTTAAGAATTTTGGATTAATTCAATATTTCACAAGCCAATTAAAAAAAAAAGTTCAATTTATGAAACCATGGCGAGGAAAGGTACTCGCAATCAGTCCAGAATAAAAAAAAAAGCAGTGAAGAGGGAACCCAGAATCATGTCAGGTTTGCTAAACAACAGGTAAATTAGTTTTATATTGGCATTTGGCACATGAATGGGAAAATCATCAGTATTTTTTAGCCAACCATCATCAGATGGTGGGCTATTCAAATGACCCTGCATCTGTGGTCCGTCGTCCATCCTTTATTCCATCTGTCCTTAAACAATTCCTTTTAACTTTATTTCTCAGAAAGTACCAGAGGGATCTTTCTCAAATTCCACATGAAGGTTTCCCATGGTCCCTATAGTTATGCATATCAAATTTTGGGACTGATCGAAAACCAAGATGATAGTTTATTTGTTATTTCTAAGGAAGTACTGGAGGGATCTTTTCAAATATGATATGCATGTTTCCCTTGGTCTTTTGTTTAGCATGTTTACTTTTGTGACTGGTGGAATGAACAAAATGGATGACAGGTTGCGATCTTGGATTTTGACAGTAAAGTTTTTTATTGCTAATTCTCAAAATGTGCTCGAGGGATCTTTAACAAATTTGATATGTAGGTTCCCCTTGGTCCTTAGTTGTGCATGCTTTATTTTGAGAGTGATCATAAAAACAAGATGACCGCAGGAAGAAATTAACTAGACCTTTCTCATATTTCACCTGGGTAAGTACTGTATTAGTAAATATGTGAAATGACAAACTCACATGATATTGATGGTGTTCTTTTATACACAGCAGTACAAAGTTTAGCCCAAGTGACCTGAAGGTGCATTTACCATATATGCATGACTCGATCAAATATATAAGAGAAAAGAAGAGAAAAGATCAAACTTACATTATAGAACTAATGAATATGTACAATGGTGGGCACCAAGATCCCTCTGGGTCTCGTCTTGTTTTCTTTTCTTTTATATCATTGTATATTTGGATTATATTTTCTTTATTAAAATTTCGCCTTATGATTCTTTTATTTTTCCTGCCAGTAAAAAGAAAAAGTACAAGAAGCGCAAGAAAAAAAGAAACAAACATATCTCAGAAAGTGAGGATGAAATGGATAAGAAGAAAAAATCAGAGGAAGAAAACATAAAAGCAGCTAAAGTGAGCACTAAGTTAGGCAGCCTGAAACAAAACTCTGATCTGATGCTGATGCAAAGATTCACCAGTGAAGTACGACCTAAAAAACCGTCTAAACCAAGGATGAAAATGAGGACATGGAATAGCGACAGTTCTGCAGACTCAAATTCAGACAGCAAATATCACAAAGACAAATCAAGAAAGTACCGAAGCAAGAAATCACGAAGGAAAAAATACAGATCTGGTGATAGTTCGTTTGATTCAAGTTCAGACAGTGATAGTGAAGCAGAGGGAAGTCATGTTAAAAGGAAAAGAGTTAAAAAGCAAAAGAAGAAAAGACGACGCGAAAGTGATGAGACAAGTTCAGATTCAGGAGAAAGTGGTCCGTCAAGTAAAAAAAGAATTCGCTCCAGTCAAACAGACTCCACCAGTGAATCGGCAGTCTCTGCTGAAGAATACTCGCACATCAAATATCCTCAAAAGAAATACAGGGAAAATTCAGATTTAACAGATGATTCAGATCTCGGTGAGAAAATGAAACATGATACAGACTCTGATTATTCTACTGCAAGAAAACACAAAAAGAAGAAACAGAAGCATAAATATAGGTAGAAATAGTTTAAATTCTGATTAAAATGAGGCTGGAAAAGAAAGGAAGATACGAACCGACACAATACTGTTTGCATAAAGCAGCATGATACCAGCATATGCTGCACATTTGTATGGTTTACTATAGTAATGGTTTACTAGAAATTAATACAAAATCTGTCCTTCAGATTCCAGGGGTTATGCAGTGTTATGTTCTCCGAGCCCTGGAATTCCGTCTTTTCGTATTGCAGAGTAATCTGCTCTTGTGAGCAGGAATGGATTGTTACGTCATTTGTTTGTGAGAATAACGTCATCAATCTTTGAGAAAACAATGTAATTTTCTCACACAAACCAATGACATAACAATCAATACCTGCTCACAAGAGAAGATAACTCTGCAATACGCAAAGACAGAATATGTCATGATAAACTAATCACTAGCCCTGCACCACTGGGCCGCGGGTTCAAGGCCTATGTGCAGCAGTTGCCATGGCCAGGTCAGTGGTTTTTCTCTGGGAAATTGGGGTTTCCTCCACCTGTAAGACCTGGCACATTCTAAAATGACCGTAGCTGTTAATAGGAAGTAAATCACAAACGTGATAAAATAAAACTGTAAAATACTGACTGATCATAAGGTTTTTGAAGGTAAATGAGAATGGAAACCCAATTTCAAAGAGGTTCATTGTATTGTTATTGGGCTGCAGAATTCTTCTGATTTACATCAAAGGATCAAACTAGTCTAATTGTATCATCCTCAAGGTGGAGCATACGGATCTAGAGCCTTCAGTTTTGACATGACATATTTCAGAGACAGAGGTGCAGGGAACACAAGAGAGCAAAACCTACCTTGAATTTGGAAGATGTACTAGTTCTGTCCCTATTTCAAATGTTTGACATATGTAAATTTGCTATAACTGATATGTTGACTTGCATTATAGGAATGTTTTTGGAATAAAAGTGTCGTCACAATATTTATAACACAAAACTTAGTGGTGTAGTCTTTGAGAAATGCCGTGCTAGTGGTGCATTTACACAGAATGTACCTACAATTCTGCACAGCCTGTCTCTACTTAGATATCCTAAAGGTGGATATGTTAGTCTAACTAGCAGTTTAAGATGATGGTGTCGCAGAGAGCTTGAAATAATCTCAAAATGAAATATCTTGACTTCTGAAACAAGACACCCAATGCACTTGATTTGTTCTCATCTATACGACCCCAAGCAGTGTATAACGTTTAAACGTGTGTATACTTTCATAGCAGTTTCCCATTTTCAGATAACATCTCTTGCACAAAATTTCATCTTTAGCAGGTAGTCTCCAGTGAACACCACAGCTTGTGGTATATTCCGTGCAGTTCAGCATACACCAGTTGATGGATTCCTAAATGGAATCCACTAGTTTCTCCATGAGAGTAATTGAAATTCAAGAGTTGACCTGACAGAGTATAGAGCCTAACCTCTTATCAAACACTTGATGGAAAGAGGAGATGACCCAACAGAATATAGAGCCTAACCTCTTATCAAACACTTGATGGAAAGAGGAGATGACCCGGCAGAGAATAGAGCCTAACCTCTTATCAAACACTTGATGGAAAGAGGAGATGACCCGACAGAGTATAGAGCCTAACCTCTTATCAAACACTTGATGGAAAGAGGAGATGACCCGACAGAGTATAGAGCCTAACCTCTTATCAAACACTTGATGGAAAGAGGAGATGACCCGACAGAGTATAGAGCCTAACCTCTTATCAAACACTTGATGGAAAGAGGAGATGACCCGACAGAGTATAGAGCCTAACCTCTTATCAAACACTTGATGGAAAGAGGAGATGACCCGACAGAGTATAGAGCCTAACCTCTTATCAAACACTTGATGGAAAGAGGAGATGACCCGACAGAGTATAGAGCCTAACCTCTTATCAAACACTTGATGGAAAGAGGAGATGACCTGACAGAGTATAGAGCCTAACCTCTTATCAAACACTTGATGGAAAGAGGAGATGACCCGACAGAGTATAGAGCCTAACCTCTTATCAAACACTTGATGGAAAGAGGAGATGACCCGACAGAGAATAGAGCCTAACCTCTTATCAAACACTTGATGGAAAGAGGAGATGACCCGGCAGAGAATAGAGCCTAACCTCTTATCAAACACTTGATGGAAAGAGGAGATGACCCGGCAGAGAATAGAGCCTAACCTCTTATCAAACACTTGATGGAAAGAGGAGATGACCCGGCAGAGAATAGAGCCTAACCTCTTATCAAACACTTGATGGAAAGAGGAGATGACCCGACAGAGTATAGAGCCTAACCTCTTATCAAACACTTGATAGAAAGAGGAGATGACCCGACAGAGTATAGAGCCTAACCTCTTATCAAACACTTGATGGAAAGAGGAGTTGACCTGACATCAAAAGGGGAGTTTTGGCAATGTTACTTTAGTTTATTTATACGAAGGTTCTGACTACCCACCTAGCGAGTCTAAAACATTTAAACTGGATCAAAGTTACCGATATTCCGCTTTTAATGTTGTCATGTCTTCTTTTAAGTGAACATTAAGTGTTTTACAAGAGATTAGGATCTATACTTCCCCATATTATTTTTTTCCATTACAGAAACTGTTTTTAAAATCTCGGTTACTGTTAGAGCAAAACAAATAGAAATTTAGGCCACAAGCATACTAATACGTTCTCCAAATTTAGCGCTAGACTGTCCAAGTTTTTAAAGTCTCAGCAATAAGAGTGCCTTTCAACCAAATTGAATCCCACAATTTTAATTTGTCAAATACAAAGCAGGCAATAATTCTGGGAAGCATAGTCTCGGCAATCAGAGGGCTTTGCAGCCAAATTGAATCCCAAATTTTTATTTGTCATACAAAGCAGGCAATTTTTTTTAAATTCAACGTCAAATCATAAATGAGCAAAAAGGTCTGGGAAAAGTTGAAAAAGAAAATAAAAAGACCAGAAGGACAACTAAATGTACATCATGTACCCATCAACGATTATGCAAGTAAATTTTGTTGAGATAGGCCTAAACGTTTATAAGTTGTCGGGAAAGCTTTCATCCATAGGCAGTACACATGGACAAGTTGATTCCAATATATCACCCACCCTAACTTTGTTGGCAGGGTTTAATTAACATACATGCCAGATTTCCTGGAGACTAATCTGTGGGTTTACAATCATTTTAAGGGAATTTGGGTCAAAACAAGGGAGTTTGTTTTATTAGTGCAAGTGGCATTTTTCATGGCAAAAAAAATCTATCTTATTCCACTAATTTAATAAAATAAGTTACAAAATATTTAAGTAAGGATTTTTTTTTGTAAGGATTTTTTTTTTGACTTTACAATTGATAAAAAAATAGCATAAAATTTACAAAACAGAATATCAAATAGTTGAGATAAACTGAAGAAGCAGGATTTATAAAATTTAGTAGGACAGGTCAATATTCACTTCAGCCACAGTACTACTGACGTTAAATTTAGGAGAAAATAAACTTTGATCTGTGTATATTGGTGAGTTTGCAAGGATAACAGTATTATACTTTGTGGGCAATGTAATAGAATCTGGAAACACGCATTTAACAACAGGACAAAAATAATCGGCTTTGAAAACAAAGCAAACTTTGTTCAGCATCAAGCATGGGCTTGTCCCAATATAGACATGATCAGCTAAATGCTACAACTCAAATATTCATTGCTATATATTTACATTTGCACTGCATAGGGCCTAGATAACTCTACTGGTCCCATTGTAACATATTTTCCAATGAACTACAACGGGGATTAGGTCCGTGTAGTGATACACTGACCTAATTACCGCCAAGTGGCGATGTTCCGCTGTGTTGTGTCTTAAAATGTTATTGTATGACAGTTACATCGCTAAATGACCACAACATATATTAAAATGGTCACATGTTAGTATACAAATTGGTAATTGACATATATGCATTTAAATAAAAAAAAATCAATTATTAAATTGATGTGTTTACTGTGGAACTTTCTTGTTTATTGTTTTTGTCGGCCTGGTTGCCCTTGACAACGACTGTGGAATGCGAAATTACCCGGCTGTTCCGAACAATTTACCGCTGACCCAGTCGGTGTGTATAAGAGTTTTAAAACAGCAATTAACAATACTCGCAACATTGCACAACTAATATTGTTGGTTTGGAATATAAATATAAGGATTGGNTCAAAAATATGACAACCAACCTTAACACAACAGACAACAACAACAAATTCTGTTGGTAAACAAAATATTTAATGGATGTACAAATTTACATGTTATAAGATAGCGATAATTTAATGTATTTACAGATGTGAAGAGTTATAAATAAAAAATCATTATCTTGTTCAGAACGACCACACAGACTTGGCTTCCAAATATTTATATATCACAGTATTTGTTTAGTCCAAAACACATTCCCAAAAAAGCCCATGTTTCCAAATATTTTCCCCTTACCAAACAAGTACAATAATGAAAAAGGCACACTTTTTCAATATTAGTAAGTATAGTTGAAAGTATCATATCATGCACGAAATGAAAACTCCATTCTTGCAAGGGAGATAACTCACAAGGTTTTGCAATGTCATTACAAACTTTCAGGAGATAATAACTCAAATCATGGAAATGAGATAAGTCCTATCTTGCAAGGAAGTGAACAAATATTGTGCAAGGGAGCTTACTCTTATTTTGTGAGGGGGGACCAATCATTTCTTGCAAAAGAAGAAAACTTGTGCACTTCTCAACACGATTGTATGCAGAGCTGAAGATGGGGAGACAAATTCCTTTTTCCATATTAACTGATAGAAATGGCAGTCTAATTATAAAGACGGATTTCCCTATAAGTATTGTAGATCTACAAATAACATGGTTTTATGAAAATGTGAATTCAAAACAATTTTTCTTTTGAAGACCTTCATTGTGTGCTCTTAAATACAGAAGCAGTTTATTCCATAATTTTTTGTCTTTGAGCGAACTAGAGTATTTAAATGACCACATTTTATGAATGAACGCTTCCACTATCCTGGTCATTATTAATTCCTCTAGTTATTCACAGTGATGTCATGTTTTGTCAAACATTACAAATACACATCTTCTCTTTTTCAATAGTACTATCAAGACCAGTGTGGAATTCATCATCATCAGCTGATATAGTTTGATGTTTCTTCAATTCTATCAAACCAAGGTATCTCAATCTTGTTCTGTCAACTGTCAGGATATCTATTTCACAGAGATCTATGAAACCTAGGACTGTGGTCAATGTTTTTCCTACTTTCCACAAACAGTTACTTAGTCCAGTTTTTTGCTTGATATCTTACACATTGTCACATCACTTGGTTATATGAGTCCACCCCGTCCCACCCACCCATGTAAAGCTACGCTCCGTTACTCGGCAGGCGCTTCCTGTTCAGCCTGCTCCGTCGGTGCTTCCTCTTGTGGTGCTTCTTCCGCAACTGGTTCTGCTGTCTCACCTTCTGCGGGCGCCTCAGGTGCCTCTGTTGTCTCTGCAGGTGTTTCATCTTTTTGTTCATCACCCTCAGGCTTAGCCTCACCTTCCGTCTCTCCCTCCTGTGGGGCCTCAGCTCCCTCCTCTGGCTTTGTCTCTTCTGCCTGTTGTTCACCCTCGGGGGCCGGTGGTTGAGCTTCCCCTTCAGGAGCCTCTGGTGGTTGTTCTGTAGGAGCAATGTTAAAAGAACATTAATTTTTTGAGGAATTTAATAAGCATTTAAGAGCCATCGTATGAAAATGTTTAGCATTAAAAGATATGTTACATTTTATTTACATTCAAATCAACAAAAGTTAAACATGAACTGTGTAGGGTCAATTTTATAATGCCATATAAAATTGTAAGAATTAGATGCTTCAATTTGAAGGAGCAATTATTAAAATGCCAACAATGACAGAAAGATTTAATTATTGATATTGTCCAAAAAATGAAGAAACTTCATACAAGCTAACATAATTTGTCATTCTTCTGTTGAACAGTTTAATTAGACAACTTAATGTTTGAGTCATTAACACAGAGTCTGTAGAGATAAGATAATTTTCAATTCAAATCTTTCATAATTATTAACTTATAAACAGACACACAGATTGTAGCATAATTTAAAAAAATCTTCATATTTTTTTTTTATATTATTTGAGTTTGAAATTTCCTTCCACAAATTGAAAGAGAACAGCTAGACACACTAGAAAAGTACATACACAACAGTAACACAATATCAGAATTATAATCAAATGTAATTGTGTCTACAACAAATTTTACAATTGTATACACCAACCAGTAAGCTCTGGATCATCTACAGAAACATGATAGGAACTAGACAGTACATCAAAACCTTTGGTTAACAAACATTGTTTTACTTGAACTGGAGTGCATATGTGACTTCTAATTTTTTTAATTTTTTTTTTCCATTTTTTAGTGAACATGCATGTGCAAAATTTGATGCTTAAAAACTATTAAGATATAATTTCATAAGCAACATTCCAGACTACTCTTAGTCTTATATAATATGGTATAATAGTGAGCAATATTAATATGTTTTTAATTTTTATGTCTAACGCTTTGTTTATTTCAATTACATTGTGCTACATTCATATACAGTGCTGAGCTAATTATCTTATTTTTGTAGTAGTCAGTATCAGAAGCAAGCACTAAAACCTGCTGCTTGTGATCATAGCCACATTGCAACATTCATGCAGTGCACATTTAAATGTTCTTCAATGAATTCTTATAAGAGTTTGTGATATGTGACTTTTTTTGAGAACTTAACATATTCTTAAAAAATTAAGATCCTAGGCTATTATTTTTTTTAAAAGTAAAAAATTCAAGCACTGTAATTATTGACCTGCTATATACTTGTAAGCAGTCATGTTTATGCATTGTATAACACTGATACACACTAACATATATCAGATAAAGGTGTGTGCTGAGTTTTTCTACTGTAAAGCATATGGTATGTATATTTCGGCAAAAAAGGAGACCAGATGTTTTTTAAACAAAAAAACTCCAATTAAATGTTTTCACACAAGTTTTATCTACTTATAGGTTATGTATTTTTTTATTTATGTATAATTAGCATTCTTGCAAACTGTTTTAAAGTAATATTTCGAAATATTCCGACATGAAAAACGATAACAATAAAAACATCCAAATGTTTTACAATATTAACTTGGAATTAAACACAAAAAAGTCTGGATCTGAAAGAAAACGATAATTGAACGTAACACGGAAAACACGGGCATGCTACAATAACGTCAACATGAAACGTCAGATAAGCAACAATCTAGCTCCACAATGTTTGAACACGCTGAGAATATCAAATTTCATTCCCCAGGAAAATCAAATCAATGGAAAATAAGTTGAAAAATATTGAATGGCACATGACTAAAATATTTTTGTGGCTATTATAAGTTTAAAAGATTCAGATTTAAAATTTAATGCTTTAGAGAAAAAATGTAATAGATATTCTGAACACAAATTCTTAAACAACAATTTTGTGTGGTCTAAGTGAAACTATATCATTCACTTTGAATTTGACAAAAATATCTTCAAATATTCCTGTGTATTACAGAATTTCAGGGTAAGGACTAATAATCTCATTCACCCCTGAAATTTCATGATGAACTATTCCAACCTTTGAATTGGAAAAGTTTAAATATGTCTTCAGGGGTGAACGAGTTAAAGTTTGTCAACACATTGTGGAACTAGGACAAATGCTGCGTGCTGGACACATGCTAACCAATGATTGACCACTGCTGGACATCATCAATCAATTGTTTACCTGAACATGATTGGATGGGTTAGTGATGTCATGTTAGTGATTAGCCTGGAAAAAAGACAAACATTGAAGGAAATCGGTTTAAAATTCCATACAACATATAGTAGCAGGCGTCAGTCACACCGTCTTTCCATCATTGTTTTAGAAAGAATGGTTTCCAGTTCATGTAAAGTTGTTAAAATACAGTGATAAATCTACTGAGTTCTGAGTATTATATACCCTTAGAACTTTTATGGGACTCAAAATTTCTCGAAATAATTGAATTTAACATTGTGGGACCCATCATTTGTGACAACAGTTGAAAAGGACCCATGAAAATAAACTAGATTAATGACTGGAAATATACATTATTTCTGTTACTGCATCAATGTAATAAATTAATAACATTTATTTGATAAAAAAAATCAAAAAAAATCCGTAATTTCTTTAAAATCTATGTATAATCTCTCTGATGCAGCTGAAGATGGGTTTATTTTGTTTCTGCCATTTTTCATCAATTATCTTTCTAAATAGTAGTTTCAGCTGTCATACCAACATAGAAATGCTTCAGAGATATTTTCCCCACCGTTCTCCTTCTAAGCAGAGATAGGAATGTGATCACACTCACAGACTTGTAGAGTAGTAATACTTTGTGTTTGAGCTCCAATTAACTCATTCACCCCCAAAATTGTATAATGAACTATTCCAACCTCTGAATTAGAAGAGTTCAAATGTGTCTTCAGGGGTGAATGAGTTAAACTCATCATGCAAACATTTACACCATCTTTTGTATACCATTGCTTCCACCAAACCCTAGGCCTCTCCATGTGAAGTAAACATTTCATCAAATAAAAGAAACCTTTTTCCATATCTCATCAAACCACACATGTATGCATCCATTCACCCCTTGAGACCTAAGCTCAACCACCTGGGCCCTAAGCTCCTACCCCGAACCCCAAGCTCCACCTCATGGGCCCTAAGCTCCCCCCCCCCCCCCCCCCCCCCCCCCNCCCCGAACCCCAAGCTCCACCTTCTGGGTCCTAAGCTCACACCTAGGAACCTTAGGTTAGACCAAAACTAAGCACTGCTTCCAATTTCACAAGCTCCATCCTCACCTTGACTTGACTCCTCCTCCTTTGCGGCTTCCTCGTCCTCTTCTTCTGTTTGTAGATGGATGGCTGTCACTTTACCTGCCTTCCACTTGGGGATGATGTTTGCTGACGCCTCCTCATCCTCTGCCCCCTTATCTTCCTTGTCCTGTAGATTCAAGTGTCAATCATTTCATAATGAATTTCAAAATCTCGTGTCACTCGTTCAATCCAGCATGAATGTGAAAGCTGAAGCCTTGAAAGATCGTCTTGATTGAAATGTTTGACACTGAACTTATTATGTTTCATTATAATAAATACAAATTGCAACATGTAACAAATATTGGATAGTATTTCTTTACTTTCTGTCAGTTATTTTCTGGGCCATTTCAAATTTGAGAAAAAAAATTGTCTGTTATTTCAGGTATAATAAATCAATTACACTCCCTGTCAGTCACTTGGCCTCTGACCCCTCCGTTCAATCACTTGACCTCAAACCCATCCAGTCAATCACCTGACCTCTGACCTCTTCTGTCAGTCACTTGACCTCTGACTCTTCTAATCAATCACTTGACCACTAACCCCTCCAGTCAATCACCTGACCTCTGGCCTCCATTGTCAGTCACATGACCTCTGATTCCTCCAATCAATTACTTGACCTCTAACCCTTACAATCAATCACTTGAGCTCTGACCCATCCTATCAGTCACCTGACCCCTCCAGTAAATCACCTGACCTCTTACCCCTCTTGTCAATCACTTGACATCTGACCCCCTCCAGTCAATCACCTGACCTCTGACCCCCTCCAGTCAATCACCTGACCTCTGACCCCTTCCAGCCAGTCATGTCTCCTTACCTGTTCTATAGGGATGTATTCACCATGCTGTTCACATCCAATATCAAACACATATTTTCCCTTTCCCATTGGCTGAAACACAAACAAAACCATTGATGAATAATTTCTATACATACATATTTTATTTTTGAGATATATCAAGGGTAGATGATTTTACCAGCCTTGTATGATTTAATCATAATCTGACTGTCCATTATAAATAAATTGAATTGCCAATTAATTTTCAAATGTCTATAACTTGATCAGAGTAAGAAAATAAATTTTATTGTACTACTATTTATTTCTATATATTTAATATGAATGTCTAAATTTTATCATTATAAGACGGGCAACAATTATTGTAACATGGGCATATAGAAGTATTTCCCACAAATTTGGAAAACTGAGTGAAGCCTAATTTAACTTATTGAGAATTTAAACATGGCGAGACTTGTCTTATCTTTTGGCACGATTATTTTACCGATCTTTACATAATAATTGAGTTGATCACCGCTTACCTTATCATCACGGAATACTCCCACATATTTATGATTGGTGTGCACCAGTTCGCCGTGGCCCTCCCGTTTGCCATTCTGCCACCGTCCGACATATTTTGTGCCTGTTGCGGCGTATGTGTAGGTCCCCTGTCCGTGTCGTACATGATTTTGCCAGTCACCCTCATAAACATCTCCGTTAACATAATAATATTTACCAAACCCACACCGCTGGTCATCTACCCAGCCACCTGCAAAATTAAAATTCAAAAACTTTTCAAATAATGTTCAACTTAGTTTCGTCAAAGACACATTAGCATGGAAATAATTAAACACATCGTGAAGTAAATATTCAAATTTAAAATTAAACCTGTATGGTCATAGGAATTGGAATGAACATTTTTTAATCTGACAACTAAGTGAGGGTCAAACATTTTGAAACAGATATTTAAAACATATTCAGTTTTTTTAATCCCTTTCTATCTCGCCACCTCTATTCAAATTGTTCCACCATCCAACAACCATTTGTAAATTGCACTCCATCCCCCCCCCCCCCCCCCCCCCCCCAAAAAAAAACAACACTTGTACATTGCAACATATTTCCCCTTTATTATCCAAAGCTATGATCAGCTAATCAAGCTGATATTTTTTCCGGAGCGATATAAATGCATGAAATGTTACCTTCATATTTAGAACCATCTGGGTATATAAATGTTCCCTGTCCATGCTTTTTGTTCTTTATGTATTCTCCAATGTATCTGGCACCATTCTTAAACCTGGATAGGAAATAGGAAAACAAAATTAGTGTTACATGTATACCTTTCATATAATATTATTCAACTTAAATTCAGTAATTTTTATATTGCATGAACATCATGCTAATTCTTTAATACATTTTGTATAATAAATGTATATATATATGTAATTGATACTCCATTTGAAAAGCAACACAAAAATGAAGTAACAAGGCCTCAACAATAAATATAAAATAAAAAAAATTCTGGTCATGCACAAACATGTGTGAATTTTTATTTTCCATCCCAGTCATTGTTTATCTTAAGTTCTAAACTATTTTCAAACTTGAAAAAAAAATCAGTATACTAAAGGTAAATTTTATTTAAGGAACATTTTTTGGAATTTGAGCCGGCTAGAAGTCAGTTTTTCTTTTCAGTTTTAAATATAATTCATTCAGAGGCTGGACTTAAGTAGCATTAAATTAGACCAGAAATGTGAATACATCTAGTATACACATTATTCGTTCTTCAATTACAAGAGACAAAAGGTTTTTTAATAATTACTCTGATTATGACATTATGACACCTGGTACGGTTGTACTTGACCCTAACACATACCTATACACTCCCTGTCCGTGTCGTTTACCACAATCATACATTCCTTCGTACGTGTCACCATTTGGCAATGTTGCTTTTCCCTGGCCATGTCTTTCTTCGTTGTCATTTCGTCCACCTTCGTATTCCTACAAAACATAAACAAAACCATGATGTTACAGGTTTTTATTAATTTTAAGCCAGTTGAGTTGTGGATGTCACTAAACATATTAATATTTTCAGACAAGCCTTACAACAACTCGTACAACATTAGGAGAATGATTCAATGGGATAGTTATAATATTTCATAATCCCTGTCAGGAACTTTCTTTATGGAAGAAACTTGTTTAAGTTGCATTCCATTTACACTGACATAAAATTTGTTTAGAACATGTACAAAATTTTAATTTGTGATGGGAGGAAACAAGTGGATTCATTGCAAATCCTTTAAGAGGGATTATTGGTACAGACATATTCCTGAACACCTATTTAGGTATTAACAGGTTGGGGAAAACCACCAACTTGCGTATAATACACCAACTTGCCGATTATAAGCCATTTGGAGTATGGATTAGTTACTAAAAATAACCCAAATCGCTTTAACAGTAACTTTTGCAATATATTATTAAAAATCGCATTAATTTACGACAAGGTAAATAATATTTTGCTAAAATATGTTTACTGAAAGTGTTGGCTACTTAAGAAACTTGATGTAACTTTACCGGATTCATTGCATCTATTTTTGGTACTTTCCCACATGCAAATAAAGTTTTTTTTTGCATATAAGCGACTTGGACTTGTAAACAATTTTAAAAGTTCAGATATAAGTGATTTCGGCTAGTTTTAGTAACAAATCCATATCCCAATTGGCGCATGATCGGTGAGTTTGTGTACTATACGCAAATTAGTGGTTTTCCCCGACCTGATTAAAACGAAATAAAACAATTGCTTGGTTTTACGTCTGCTTTACTACTGAGTAGTTCCGTTGTCCAGCAGTCGAAGAAAAGACGGGAAAATTAGTAGAAGGGATAAAGTATGGAGTGAAGGAATAGAAAAGGGAGACAGGGGAGAGAAAACGAAACAAAATATTTCCTCAATTTCATAGGGTTCTGGTGTTGCCAACGGTTTGTTTTCATTTTGTTTGCCTTTCATATCTTTATCTATAAAGATTTAAGTCTTTCGAAATGCCATTATGACTCTGTATAAAGCCGTATAAAACATTTCTTTATATGTTTTTACATTTAGGAGACTGAAACAATAAAGTTCAACATTTAAAAACCAAGAATTCATGACGCTGATGAAAAGGCCAAAATGTATAGATCTATCAATGAGCCTAGACTGAAAAACTTTTCATAATATTAATAATGACATGTCAGATAAACCTATTAAGTTTTCTACGTACACTTAAGAGTGATTGTTCTAAATATCATTGCTAAATCTAGAAACCGTGTAATTATCATTCAAATGGTGATTATTAACTCGGTAAATATCGTCCAGCTATGGTCATTGCTCATAACCAAATCCAGCATGTTTGATCCGACTCGTTCATTCAGTGAAAATATGGTTTAAATGCGTGCTACCGTTGGTTAGTACTTACGCCTAAGTATGGCCCCTGCTCCTCCTCCATCTCTTCTGATCCGATATCAGACATTTTGTGATTTTAAAGTGACTAAACTTAAGACAAATTAGTTCCTCTTCTTTATCGACTGCTGTCTGCTACCAACAGTAATGGCGGACGACATCAACAACCGTTGCTGGGATACACGCCACCTGGTGACAAAGTTTTCGCGTTGGAGTTACTGCCCTTACAGCACGATCAAGATTATACTTGCTGGGTAGTATAGGCCGAGCTAGACTGTTATCGACGCTTATAACATTATTTACATATCCGAGGTGAACCATTCTAAAACGACAGACTGTGCTAGAACTTGATTCAAATACACGTTTGATTTTAATATTATGTTTTATGAACGACAATATCTGAGAATAATATAGTCTACTAACCGGAAAAGTGTTGTGAAAACATAAATAGATCTACATATATATGTATACCGGTCCCCACAGGCCGTGCCCGCTCCGTAACAAGTCAAGACATAGATCAAAACGCAAAAGAATCAAATGAAAAATGAAAATATAAGTCACAATGAACCGTGAATTTATTTAATTTACATATGGCCAACAGACGCAAGTAGTCTTTTTTTTTAATAATATATTCATATATATCTAACATTTAAGTAGAGTTCTAGAAGATTCTTAAAGTAAATAAACAAAATGTAAAACTTAAAATATAAATAAAACTTTATTTACATTTACATTTTCTGTGCCACATCAAACATTTTTGATTACTTTCGTACGGCTTTTGTAGGATTGATCGGCGTAAGTTCGGCCACGGGGTATGTCCGGCCACCCTGAATTTTTGGTTTTGGGCAAATATTTGATATCTTAGCAGATCAGTTGACTGGGCGGATATTCTCAACGAAAATTTTACAAGGAAAACTCAATTTTTACATTCCTAAAAAGGAGAAAGTAGATCTAGTATCTTAATTTGTGAGCGTAAAGAAAATCATTACCTCAATTCTTCCTAGATTCGTGAATTATCTGTAAGCCGAATCGTTATTTATGGCATACGTGTAACACACTGACTGCTTCGCATAGTGGTATATAAATACAAGTCTAGAATCGACTTTCGTATTATTGAAACATCAATTATGGACAGGTTCGGCCCATGCAACACGCCAATGTCATGGAAAATCGTGAAATTGACTGGGGAATCTGACGTTGCATGCTTTATGACGCCATGATTATGCCGATTCCGACGTGGGCTGAACTTACCCCAGACTGCCTGTCGGAACTCTTCCGATGGAAACAAGATAAACAATTCTTAAAACGACGACCATAATCTTTACTCAAGAAGTAAGGGGTTGACCGCCTCGGTGGCTGATCAGCTGCAATATCATGGTGCATGATCACAGAGTTCAAAAACCTTAAAATAGCACCTCCTCTGACGCTCACCTCACCAGTTGATTCTCACCTTCATTCCATTAACTGATCCATCAAAATTAATCCTCAAGAAGGGTTTGACTGCCAGGAGGCCGAAGGGTAAGGGGCCTTTAGGTCATAAAGTGCGAAACGTTTAAATGATAAAAACGTATCAATGAAAAAACATCTTTTCTTTGATTCGGATCCCCATTTCAGGTTAATGACTACCACCATTTTTCATCAAAATCTTACATATATGATGTACATGTAGTTTCTGAAGCATATTTTCAGAATGTGCACTAAGTGACCCCATATGAGCACACACATTTTTCTTCGCCGGGGTGGGGTTCAGATCCTTTTTGAGCTTATACCCAAAGCATCGTTTAATGGAATGTTCATGAAAATCCACCTGTGAGGAAGGCTTTGGGCTCTGTCCCCTTGCCGAGACGTTTCTACTCCTGCTTAACGCTCAGCAATTTAGGAGTGGGACGACTGGTTCGCCCGTTGTCAGTATAATGTGACCGGTTGAGGTGTCCTGCTGGGTGTCTTCGGCAGTATGTTTCAGACACGAACATATCACAGCCTCCCAAAACACACACCCATACACTACACGCATGCATCTTGCACACAGGGGAGGCCGTCCTTAAATAACAATAGCTGTTGATAGAACGTTAAACAACACTAAACCAAACACCTGTTCGTTTCAGAGTAGAAGCCTTTGTGACGGTTTTGCACTCTGTGACCACATATGGCCCTGCCCCTCAGTCCCCCAACGCAACAGGTCAGCTTTCTGACTCAGCTGACAACAAGGAAGCAAAACTATAAACAAAAGAAAAAAGAAAATAAACGTTCTAAACAATTTTATTGACAAAGTACAAAGCAATATGTATAAAAATTGAATTCACGAAGGGTCACATAACAACTGAAATCGATCTGAACACCATTGATATCTATTTGGGTGTCGTGCTTTATCGGCCAAAATTAGGAAGGAAAGAAAGATGTGATTGTTGGGATTGGGTTCTCAAAATCGTTTCCATTGTTTCTGAACGAGTCGGTTAAGTATTGACTATATACACGCATAGTTTCAAAAATTGTAGTGGTGTATTTCTACTGATGTTTGGCACTCTAAATGTTGCGCAGCGTTATTTCCGTTTCGTCGCCTCAGTTGGACATTTTATGGAAGTTGAAAAGTGTAGTGTGATATTTTCATTATTGATACATGTTCCTTCACAATAATGAAAATCGTTAATTTTACTCAGTAAAGACACATTTTTATGAGGACAGCATTATTTCATTTCATGTTTCGTAATTTAATAACAAACGTCATCAAAGATTCAATTTATGCAAAATGTACGTCAAAAACGACTACTGGAAAAATTTCGGAATTTCCAATTTTTACTGTTTCAAAAGAAAACGTTCTTTCAAATAGATACTTTTCTTTGTACTGTATGACAATTTCGACAAAAATATACAAATAAAACTTTATATATCTCAAATATCTGACAATATCATCCTGTCATCACGATAGGTCCATGCCAACCTTCCTGCTGGGTAAGCGTTACAATATGTTAATAGCGGTTTGTACGTTTGGTAAGTATGCCGATCACTGACCCCAATGAAACTTTTGACGTCATTTGTGCTTCCATAAATCTTGTTTTTAAATCTCTGCATAATTATGGCGCGAATTTATGGAATGTCTTTGAAACGTCGTACCCCGTAGATGTTACAGGTTACGCGAGTTATTGTGACGTTTTTAATGCGAAACAGAATTCTTCATGTTGTGTTATACGATCCATAATTATCATCAGATAAATGAGTTTAAAAAATCGTTTTCTGTGATATATAATGTGTCTTCAAGTACTGAAAACTGAATAATACCGAGATACTGTTAATGTGCGCCGTACGTGTTCTGAACCGGTGTCACCAACATCGCGCGTAACGTCTTTACACTTAGAGGAACTGAGAACATCCACGTATGTACGGGAGGTTTTACTTCATATCACATAGACACAGTAAAATGTGATAGATATAAATAATTAAAAATTGATATAACTGTCCTATCACATAACATTTAACATCACACCGAACCATACATTGTCTGAGAGGTACATAATACATATAATATTCTAAATGAGTGTAATACATTACTTATGATTGTCTAACTGAGTGTTATACATTACATGTGATAGACTAGCTGAGTGTTATACATTACATATGATAGACTAGCTGAGTGTTATACATTACATGTGGTAGTCTTACTGAGTGTTATACATTATATATGATAGTCTAGCTGAGTGTTATACATTATATATGATAGTCTAGCTGAGTGTTATTCATTATATATGGTAGTCTAACTGAGTGTTATACATTACATGTGATAGTCTAGCTGAGTGTTATACATTATATATGATAGTCTAGCTGAGTGTTATACGTTACATGTGGTCGTCTTACTGAGTGTTATACATTACATGTGATAGTCTAGCTGAATGTTATACATTATATTTGGTAGTCTTACTGAGTGTTATTCATTAT